GGTTGCTGTTTGTCCTTTCAGCAGATTAGACTAAGAAATCTGTAATTTCAGGGACACCTGGGTGGCTCAGTTGGTTAAGTGTCTACCTTAGGCTCAGGTCATGATCTCAGGGTCCTGGGATCGAGTCCCACATCGGGCTCCCTGCTCAGCGGGGAGCCTGCTTCTCCCTCTTCCTCTGCCTGCCGCTCCCCCTGCTTGTGCTCTCTCTATCTCTCTGAGAAATAAATAAAATCTAAAAAAAAAATACAGAATTTCACATTTTTTAAAAGTTGGGTTCATACTTATACCTATAATTTAAACCTAATACCACAGGGTTGTTCTTTACCTTCCCCTGTTCTATATTTATATATCTCTTCTTTCTCATTGAGAATTCTGTCTTACCCAAAACATCAATATATTTACTCATATTGAAATATTTAAACCAACTTTGCATTCCTGGAATTAGTCCCCATGGTCATGATAAATTATCCTGTATATATTGCTGGATTAGGTTTACTGATGTTTCATTAAATATTTTTATGACTATGTTCATTTGAGATAATTGTCTATAATTTTTGTTTAAGTCTTTGTTGGGGTTTTTAAAAAAATATGCTGGTTTCATAAAATTAGTGGGGAAATGTTACCCACTTTCTTGTTTTCTGAAAAAATTTGGTAAGAGTGCTGGTACCTTTTTCTGTAAATGTTTCATAGAATTTACTATTGAACCCATTTTGGTCTACAATTATCTCAAGATATTTAAAATTATGAATTTAGTGTTCTTCATGGACATAGGGCAACTCAGATTTTCTACTTCTTGTGTTTTAATAATTTATGTGTAAAGGAATGTATTCGTTTTATTTAAGTTGGATTTATTGGTATGAAGTTCATAATTGTCTTATGCCTTTAATGCTTATTATAGCATTTATAGGGATATCCCATCTTTCATTTATTCTTAATAATGAATTTATTTTTTTTCTTGATCCATCTAGCTGGAGTTTTATCAGTTTTATTGATCTCAGAGAATCTTTTTCATTGATTTTTTTTTTTTTCTGGTGTCCATTCTTACTGTTTTTGTTTTTATTCGTTCCTGTCTTTCCACTTATTTTGGGTTAATATATTACTTTTTCCTAGCATCATAAGTTGGAACCTTTTTTTTTTTTTTCTTTTTTCTAATACAAGCATTTAAAACTACTCTTTCCTGTAAGTACTAAGCAGTACTTCAGGTGCATTTCACAAATTTTGTTATGTTAGTTTTCATTATCATTTAGTTAAAACTATTTTTTAATTTCCCTTGTGAATTTTGATCCATGGATTAATTACAAGTGTGTTTACTTCTCATCTATTTGGTATTTTCCCAAATATCTTGTTATTTCCATTATGGGCAGAGAATATTCAATCCTTTTAAATTTATTCAGTACATGGTCAATCTTGGTAAATGTTCCATTTGTACATGAAAAAATGTATATTCTGTTAGATAGAGCATTCTGTAAGTGTCAGTGTGGTTAAGTTGTTTGATACTGTTGTTTGGTGGTATGTGTCACTATTAATGTTTTGTATGCTTGTTTTATCAATTATTGAGAGAGTGCGGGTTTGTCTATCTTCTCAGTTCTGTCAGTTTTTATTTCATGTATTTTGCAGTTCTTATTAGGTACACACATTTAGGATTGTTGTGTCTAAATGAATTGACTCATCATTATGAAATGTCCCTTTTTACGTAAGATAACATTCCTTTTTCTTGAGTTCTATGTCTATTATTAACATAGTCTGATATATGATAATATGTTAACTTTCTTATGAATGGTACTTGCTAGTGTAGTCTTTTTTCCCATATTTTTATTTTTAACTCATCTGTGTCTTTATATTTAAAATGTCTAGGAGTTTGTATTTTCTATCCTATTTAGAATTCCCTGGCTCTGTGTTTTTAGGTTTTTCATTAGTTTTAGAACATTTTAGACATTGTGTTGTCAAGTATTTCCTCCTACCCTTTCTGTCATTTAACATTTTTTTCCCTTCATCTTTTTCAATAACTTGTTTATATAATTGAGATTATATAGAATATGTAATCATTTTACCATATTTGAATTTCTCATGTCATATATTTTTTCTAATAGTAAAAGCAGTGTGTTTATCATAGAAACTTCTGGACAAAGTTACAAAAGAAGTAAAAATTACCTAGAATGTTCAAACCACAGATAGAAATTTTAACATGATTTATTTTACATAGTTGTAGTCCCACTAACTACATAATTTTTTCATTGTGGTAAAACACACAACATTAAATTTACCATAGTAATCATTTTAAGTATACTTTGTAGTAGTGTTAACTATACAAACATTTTTGTGCAACGTATCTCTTAGAACTTTTTCATCTTGCAAAAGTGAAACTCTATATTTCTTGAACAACAAATCCCCCTCTCCCTCCCTGTAGGACCTGGAAACCAGCATTGTAATTGCTGTTTCTAAGAGTTTGACTACTTTAGATACCTTATATAAGTGGAATCATGCAGTATTTGTACTTCTGTGACTGTCTCATTTCACGTAACATATGCCCTCAAGGTTCCGAATGAAGAATTTTTTTTAAGGCTGAAAAATATTCCATTATATGTATATACTACATTTTTTTAATCTTTCATCTGTTGATGGACATTTAGGTTACTTCCACTTATTAGCTATTGTGAATAATGGCTGCAGTGAACATGAGTGTGCCTTTTATTTTTTCTAGGATTCTAATAGTTATCTTAAACTGTTTGATATTATTCCACAGATCTTAGATGCTCTCTTCTAATTTTTTCCACTCTTTTTTTTTTTTTCCTGTTTGTGTTTCAGTTTGGGTAATTTCTGTTGACCTGTCATCAAATTCCCGGATTCCTTCCTCTTCTATATTTTGTCTACTGATGAGCCCATAGAAAGCATGTTTTTGTCTCTTAACTTTCTTCTTCATTTCTTTTTTTAAAATTTAATTTATTTATTTATTAGAGAGAGTGAGCAAGAGAGGAGAGAGCACAAGCCGGGGGAGGGGCAGAGGGAGAGAGGGGAGCAGACTCCCCACTGAGCAGGGAGCCTGATGTGGGACTGGATCCCAGGACCCTGGGATCATGACCTGAGCGGAAGGCAAACACTTAACGGACTAAGCCACCCAGGTGCCACTCCCTTTTTCACTTCTAACATTCCGTTTGACCCTTATAATTTCTGTGCTAAAATTCCCCATCATTGCTTGTATGTTATTTACCTTTTCTATTATAATCTTTAACATGTTAGTTGTGGTTATTTTAAGTTCCTTTGATAATTTTGACATTTGTGTCATCTCTGAAACTGTTCTGTATGTTGCATCTTCTTTTGGTAGTGTTTTTTTCCCTTGCCTTTTCATATGTCTTGTAATTTTTTATTAAATTCTGGGGACATCACATGTGAGACTGAAGGCAAACAGTATTTATGACCAAAATGAATGCACCTCTTCTGCTAGGCAGTTAGTGTTGGTGATTGAGCCAATCTAGTCAGGAATAGAGCCAGGTTTGAATTTTGTTGTTATACTTACTTTCTGTTACAAACTGTATGTTGTGTTGCCCCAAATTCATACACTGAAAGAACAACCTTCAATATGATTGTATTTGGAGAGGGTCTTTATGGAAGTAATTAAGATTAATGAGGGCATAAGGGTGGGCCTGATCCAAAAGGATAAGTGTCCTTATAAAATATGAGACATGAGAGAATATCTTTTCTCTTTCACTGTCTCCACCATGTGTGGACAAAATGAGAAGGCAGCTGTCTACAAGCCCGGAAGAAAACTTGCACCAGGAGCTGAATATGAATAGGCTGTCATCTTGATCTGTGACTTCTAACCTCTAGAATTGTGAGAAAATAAATTTTTGTTATTTAAGCCACTTAGTCTACAGTATTTTGTTATGGAAGCTGGAGCAGACTAATAACACCTTCAGTGCACCATAGGCTTGAAATTTTTCTTCTGTAATCTTTTGTTTAGAGTGGGGTTGATTTGCCAGAGGATTTTTCTCAACATTCCTGTTTAACCCTCTGCTTTATGTCTTCCTCGTGCACTCATGCTTCAGAGATAGTTTTTCTCCATGTTCATGCCTTTTCTCCAAATGTAGATTACTGTTGCTTATTACTTGGTGATTACTAGTCTGATGCAAGGCTGTAGGAGGTGTTTCTTGTTGTCTTGGTCCAGCTTCAATATTAGGTAGGCCCTATGACCCTGAGTCTTAGGATGGGGTTTTTAGGTTTCTGTATCTTAGGTGAAAGTAGAAGTCCAGAAATTTTTTCTGACCTATTCTCTTTTCTCCTTATGATACTTATTTGAGTCCTGTTGTGTTCTAACACATGATTTTGTGAAATCTCAGTATTTGAAAATTTAAGGTTTTAGCATATAAATTTGGTAATCAGTCTTCATGGTGTAGGGACACAGCCAGTGGTAGTACGTATGTGATGGCTTTAGGAAAAGGCTCCTCCTTTGAGTGGGCTGATTATGAGAAGTTGCCCCTTCCTGCTTCAGGCTTGGTGTCTGATTTCAGTCCCCACTTTTCCCAGTGGCTATGCATTTGAACCAGGAAAAATTTTATAGTTGCTTTCTTGTGATAAATGAGAGAAACTTATAAAAAAGTTACAAAATAGGAAGTCCATATAATACCACTTTTAACATGTATGTTTTTTTCTGTTTACAAGAGTGGATTCAGTTTACACTACTGCTTTTAACTTCTTGTTTAACTATAAATTACTTTCTCCCTGAAGGCCATTACTGAAGAATTTCTATAAAATTTAGAAATACATTCTAAATTTATTAGAAAGTCTGAGCGGGCTCTAAGGGGAATAGTAGTTTGAGACAATAAAACCACACTTCAGGATTTGTTTTCTGGTGCTTTGTGTATAACAAGCACTGAAATGTATTGGTTAAATGTTAAAATTTTTATGAAAGTGGTTTATCTGTAACTTTAGGAACACATCTAACCCTGTGATGCAAGGTATACTATTATCAACGCATTAAAAAATAGCTGATTTTTGTTTTGTAGGTATCCTGCAACATCCAGATGGCACAGTTTTGAAACAGTTACAGCCACCTCCAAGGGGTCCAAGGGAGCTGGAATTCTATAATATGGTAAGTAAGGTAAGATTTGTTTCATTGTATTCAAAGAGTTTTTCATAGTTTCTGATGAGTAGGTAAGAAATACATTTGACAGCATGTCCTGGTGTATTGTTTATGTGACTGAAACAAAAGCTTTATGAAATACAATGCTTATCTTTATTGATACAGTCTAGTATTTTCCCACTGTACTTCATTTTTAAAATTTTATTTATTTTAGAGAGCACGTGCACATGAGCAGGGGGAGGGGGAAGGGCAGAGGGAGAGGATCTCTAACAGACTCCCGTGCTGAGTGAGGAGCCCAACGTGGGGCTCCATCATGACCCTGAGATCACGACCTAAGCTGAAATCAAGAGTCAGCAGCCCAACTGACTGAGCCATCCAGGTGCCGCTACTCTACTTCATTTTTTTTATTATTATTATTATTTATTTGACAGAGACACAGCAAGAGAGGGAACACAAGCAAGGGGAGTGGGAGAGGGAGAAGCAGGCCTCCCGCAGAGCAGGGAGCCTGATGCAGGGCTTGATCCCAGGACCCCGGGATCATGACCTGAGCTGAAGGCAGACGCTTAACGACTGAGCCACCCAGGCACCCCTCTACTTCATTTTTGAGAGATCCTTATTCTGAGCTGCTAAAATGATTTTAATTAATGGATTTTGACCTACAGTTTAAAAACCCCTTATCTGAGAGCCCATTTGTATTTCTCAGAAGTGCTGAGTTTAAATAAGTGTTTTTATTTTTACTACAGGATTGTTTTAGAACCTTAAATATGCTAATGTGTACTGTGAAACTCCAAATTTGGGGAGGGGGAAAGGGCATACTTAACATCTAATTAACTCTATGACTAGGAATACTTTTTAGTACATTCACAGTGTTTTCAACCCATCAACTCTGTCTAGTTACAAAACATTTTCATCACACAAAAGAAAACCTTGTACCTGTTAAGCCATCCCTGGCAACCATTAATCTGCTTTCTATGGATTTACCTATTCAGGATATTTTGTATAAATGGAGTTATATAATATGTGTCTAGCTTGTTTTGTTTAGCATAATGTTCTTTTTTCTTTTAAAGATTTATTTACTTATTTTAGAGGCAACAAGTACAAGCCAAAACAAAAAACAAGTACTACTATAAATGCTTTTCCAGTATTAACTTGTTTGATCCTCACAAAAACCTGTGAGTTAGGTACTATATTATCCTCATTTTATATATGTGCATATGAAGGCATGATTAGTTGAAATAATTTGATCAAGATCCATTCAAATAGTTAATGATGGTCCCTGGATTTGAATGTATGCAGTCTAGCTCTTGAATATGTGCTTTTAACTGCTACACATAGCCTCTTTTTTGAAGAATGTATTTTATATTCTGTAAAAGCCTTGTACGTAATTTGTTCAATTTATTCTTGGTACCTCATTTTTTGTTTCTATTGTAAATAATATTTTTTTGAATTAAGTTTCCCAATGATTGCTAATATACAGGAATGAAATAGATATTTGTATTTCTTTTATCTTATTGAACTCTACCAGTTCTAATTGTTTCCTATGTAGACAGTTAAAGCTACTGTGATTGGAAGGGTATTTTGTTGTTGTTGTTCCTTTTGAATCCATATATTTCTTTCAAGTACTTCCAGTTCATTGATGAATAGAAGCAATGATGGGAGGGAGGGTATCTTCCTCTCATTTCACGGAAGTGCTTCTAATATTTCTCCTTTTAAGTATGGCTTTCTCTCTTGTTTCTTTGATAGATACTTCTTCCCAGGTTAAAGAAATTGCCTTCTTTGTGAGTCAAGACTCTGTCAAGAAACAAATGGTGCCCTGTGTCAGTTTAATAAAAGGACTGTTTACAAAGGTGTGGTCACAGTTTAAGGCCACCTGCAAGAGATAATGCTATACCATCCCTGGGCCTGAAAGGGCAAAGAAAGGGAGTGGTAACTAGAACTCAGGGAAGGTAACTTTACAAGAAGGTATGAACTGAGAAGGAGGGAATTAGAGAAGTAAATAACCTGACCTTAACCCTTTTCCTACCCTCCACTGTCTTGTACCATTAAGAGACAATGGCAGGAGGACAAGAGACGACCACTGATGCAGTTGATTGAAGTTAGCTTCTTGGAAAAAGGGAAAGATACACAGCAGCCTTTCTATTTTTATTTCAAGAAACTTTTTAAGACATGAATGGGTATTGAATATTTTTCGGCTACCTTTTCTGTATCTGTTGAAATAATTTTATGAGTTTCCTCTTTTAATCTGTTGATATAAATACCATAATAGATTTCTAATCTATTATCACCTTTCATTTTTGGAGTAAAACCTACTTTTACATGTCCTTTTAATTTTTTTTTTTTTAAAGATTTTATTTATTTATTTGACAGAGAGAGACACAGTGAGAGAGGGAACACAGGCAGGGGGAGTGGGAGAGGGAGAAGCAGGCTTTCCACTGAGCAGAGAGCCCGACGCGAGGCTGGATCCCAGGACTCTGGGATCATGACCTGAGCCAAAGGCAGACGCTTAACGACTGAGCCACCAAGGCGCCCCTAATTTTTTAATAATATGCATTACTGAATTTCGTTTGCTAGTGTTTTATTTAATATTTTTTCCACCTATTCTCAAAAATGAGATTGAATTATTATTTTCTTCACATATTTCCCTTGTCTGGTTTTGATATCAGGTTTCTTATATCTTCATAAAATGAGCCAAGGGGCATTTCTTTTTCTATTTCGTGGAAGAATTTGTATCAGATAAGGATTTGTTCCTTAAGGGCTTGATAGAACTTAACTGTAAATCATCAGTGTAGCCAGCTGTCTGTCTTTTTTCCTTTCCTTTTTTCTTTTTTTATTATGTTATGTTAGTCACCATACAGTACATCATTAGTTTTTTATGTAGTGTTCCATAATTCATTGTTTGTGTATAATACCCCATGCTCCACGCAATACATGCCCTCCCTAATACCCATCACCAGGCTAACCCACCCCCTCACCCCCTCCCCTCTAAAACCCTCAATTTGTTTCTTGGAGTCCATAGTCTCTCATGGTTTGTCTCCCCCTCCGATTCCCCCCCTTCATTTTTCCCTTCCTTCTCCTAATGTCCTCCATGCTATTCCTTATATGCCACAAATAAGTGAAACCATATGATAATTGACTCTTCTCTGCTTGACTTATTTCACTTAACATGATCTCTTCCAGTCCCATCCATGTTGATGCAAAAGTTGGGTATTCATTCTTTCTGATGGCTGAGTAATACTCCATTTTATATATGGGCCACATCTTTATCCATTTGTCTGTTGAAGGGCATCTTGGCTCTTTCCACAGTTTGGCTATTGTGGACATTGCTGCTATGAACATTGGGGTGCATATGGCCCTTCTTACCTCTGTGTCTTTGGGGTAAATACCCAGTAGTGCAATTGCTGGGTCATAGGGTAGCTCTATTTTTAATTTTTTGAGGAACCTCCACACTGTTTTCCAAAGTGGCTGTACCAACTTGCATTCCCACCAACAGTGTAAGAGGGTTCCCCTTTCTCCACAACCTCTCCAACATTTGTTGTTTCTTGCCTTGTCAATTTTTGCCGTTCTAACTGGTGTAAGGTGGTATCTCAATGTGGTTTTGATTTGGATTTCCCTGATGGCTAGTGATGATGAACATTTTTTCATGTGTCTGTTAGCCATTTGTATGTCTTCTTTTGAGAAGTGTCTGTTCATGTCTTCTACCCTATCCTTTTTTTTTTTTTTCATTTCGTTCCTTCTTTCCTGGAAAAGGATTTTTTTCTTAAGATTTATTTATTTATCTGAGAGAGAGAGAAAGTGTGAGCAGGAGAAGGGGCAGAGGGAGAGACTATCAAAGCAGACTCCTGCTGAGCATGGAGCCGGACACAGGGCTTGATCTCATGAGGCATGAGATCAGGACCTGAGCTGAATCTAAGAGTCAGATGCTTAACCTACTGAGCTACCGGTGTGCCCCTGGGAAGGGATATATTTTTAACCACTGATTCAGTTTTTTAATATCTTTTGTCAATGTGATAATAAAATATAGTTGGATTATATATGACTTCTTTTATATTCCTAATATTAATTGTTTATTTGCTGCTTCTATCTTTTTCTTGATCAATTTGGCCCCCAGCATTTTTTAGAGTGTAATGGTAGGGGAAGGGAGAGGATGACAGTGTTTTTACTTTTCAGGAGTTAGATTTTCATTTACTCTCCCTGTTTCAGTATAGTAACTCTGTCTTTATCTATGCTGAGTCCCTAAATTCAGAGATCCTTTGGTTCAAGTCTTCAGAGTGGACCTTTATGAAGCCCAGACTTCACTGCTCAGTTTAACTCTTTTGGTTCCCTCTTTATTTTAGAACCCTATGAGTTTCATTTTCTCTTCCTTGGGAGCTCAGCTAAGCATTTAAGAAAATGTTTATTATATTTTATCCTACATTTCTCTAGTTAGAAAGGTTTTTTTTTATCACCCCCCCCAAAAAAAATATTTAAAGTAAGAAGAGAAAGTTCCGCTCTTATATATACTCTTCTGGTTCTTTTATCTTTTTTACTTACAAATATATCATGGACTTCAAGTACATAGAGATATACTTGCTTCCTCCATCCTGTTCTTATGTCATCATGAACACTCTGCCGTCACTGATGTTATGCCAGGAACAAAGGGATGATAAGGTATACCCTTCTCTTAATTACCTTGGTCTAGAAGTGACTAATAAATATCACTTCTGCTCACATTTCAATAGTGAAAGCTGGGAAATACAGTGTATCACATAGATTCTGTCACACTTGAGTTTATTCTGTAGAATTCTGTTTTATGTGTAACTACTTGACATGAATATGGCTTGACAAATAGAATTGTAACACTAAGATTTCATAAGCATTTTATACCAGTGAACTTTAATGATTTTGGATAATTAGGTAGACCATATTGTGAGAATTCATTGGATAACATGCCTTACAAGTTGTTTTTAAACCAAAAATATTTTCTTGCCCTCTTCTAGGAAAAAAACTAAGAATCTAGTTCAGGATATGTGAACATTTCTAGTATTTTCTAGAATTATTACTGGTTATAAATCAAGGAATTAAATGAGCAATAATTAGACTTACATTGAGTTAAAGGATAATTTTTTAAAGGTAAAATCCTAACTCCCAAGTGCCTAGGTGGCTCAGTTGGTTAAGCATCTGCCTTCAGCTCAGGTCGTGATCCTAGGGTCCTGAGATCGAGCCCCGCATTGGGCTTCCTGCTCAGCAGGGAGCCTGCTTCTCCCTCTCCCTCTGCTACCCCCCCTACTTGTGCTCTCTCTCTCTGTCAAATAAATAAAATCTTTAAAAAAAATCATAACTCCCTTACAGATATAAAATAAATACATGTTAAAGATTTTGTTAAACTCATTGTATAATGAGGGAACCAAGCAGATATTGAAACGGGTTCAAAAGAGAAGCCAAAGAAGCACAAATTTATAAGGAATAAAGGGAAGTTGAAATAAATATATATATCTGCCCTCCCATGAGGGGTGGTGGAAGGTGGAAGGAAGTGAGTTGAACCTCTTCTGGACAGAATTTATTTACATTTCTATGGACAAGAGTTATTTTGCATTTGCTGAAAGTTTTATCTACAACTTACTTAGTTGTAAAATAGTTCAAGGACAGTGAAAGCCTAGAATTAGATAACCAAGAAAAATGTGCTCTAAACAATACATACTTTTTTGTTGGAGACACACAATAATCTTTTTTTTTGCTTCCAAATGTATTTCCAATTGAAACTCACACGAGATAAATTATGATTCAACAGTATTGTTTTACTTGAGAAATGTGTAGGGCAATTGTAAAGCATTATAAGAAACTATCATGCAAATGTTATATTTCTCTTTGTTTCAGGTTTATGCTGCTGACTGTACTGATGGAATTCTTTTAGAGCTACGAAAATATTTGCCAAAATATTATGGCATTTGGTCGCCTCCCACTGCACCGAACGGTAATCTTTTCTTAAAAATTCATCCTTTACTATTAATTCATGAGAGTGGCTTTTTATTTTATTTTTTTACTTTTTTTAAGATTTTATTTACTTATTTTTTTTTTTGAGAGAGAGACAGTGCACAAGCAGGGGAAGTGGCAGGCAAAGGGAGAAACAGACTCCCCACTGAGCAGGGGAGCCTGACGCGGGACTCGATTCCAGGACCCTGAGATCATGACCTGACAGTGCCTGTTTAAAAGGCTTTATATAGGGCCCCTGGGTGGCTCAGTTCGTTAAGCAACTGCCTTCGGCTCAGGTCATGATCCTGGAGTCCCTGGATCAAGTCCCGCATCGGGCTCCCTGCTCAGCAGGGAGTCTGCTTCTCCCTCTGACCCTGCCCCCTCTTATGTGCTCTCTCTCTCATTCTCTCTCTCTCAAATAAATAAATAAAATCTTTAAAAGGCTTTATATAAAATTAAGCCTAGTTTTATACAGACAGAATATATGTGTTTTTCTTTCTAGTCTTTTCTCTACTTCATTAAGGAAATCTTACTAATACTTTTTTTTTTAAAGATTTTATTTGAGAGAGAGAGAGAGAAAGTGAGAGAGCAAGCATGAGCGGTTGGAGGGGGCAGCAGTGGGAGAGGGAGAAGCAGACTCCCTATTGAGCAGGGAGCTCCATCCCAGACACCTGAGATCATGACCTGAGCTGAAGGCAGATGTTTAACTGGCCGAGCCACCCAGGCATCCCTACTTTTGCTTTTCATACCCAGTTTCTTAAATGGTGTATAACATTAATGACCAACGGAGCACCTGGGTGGCTCAGTCAGTTGAGCGTCCAACTCTTGATATGGGCTTAGGTCATGATCTCAGGGTCATGAGATCTGGCCCCCTGTTGGCTCTGTGGTCAGCAGGAAGTCTGCTTCTCTCCCTCTCTCCCTTCCTCTCCCTCTGCCCTTTCCCCCCATCCTCCATTCACATGTGCACACTCTTTCTCTCTCTTTAAAATAAATGTCTTAAAAAAAATTAATGACCAATTTGTTATAATTGAATACAAAAATCTATGTACTTAATACTGTGTTAATTTATAGATGTTCTTTTTTCCTAATTTATTGGGTAATTTCTTTTTCCATTTTGAGTAGGAAAATCAAGAAAAATATTTTCTTTATGTAACTCCCTCTGTATCTCGTTCTAGGCTTTAAATTGCAATCTTTTAGGGGTGTCTGGGTGGTTCAGTTGGTTAAGCATCTGACTCTTGATTTCAGGTCATGATCTCAGGGTTGTGAGATTGAGCTCCATGCTGGGCTTGGAGCCTGCTTAAGATTCTCTCTCCTGGGGATGCCTGGGTGGCTCAGTTGGTTAAGATTCTCTCTCCTTCTGCCTCTGCTCCCCTCCCCCTTAAAAAAAAATTGCAATCTTTTAAAAAAATACCGCTAAGTTTCATGGTTAAAGGACAGAATGATCTATGTAAGGGCACAGCATCTCTTTCTTAATGAATACTTGAAGGAGTATTTGCCTTTTCAAAGCCTTTGACAGAGCAGACAGGATTAAGTAAACAAGTAGCATGACTACTTAATGATTGAAGAAGGTTGATGAATGGGTGAAGAGTTTCAAACTTGACTGAGTTTGAGAATAACCCAGAGGCTTGTTAAAATGTAAATTATTAGGCTCAACTCCCAGTTTTTTTATTATGCAGATCAATGTTGGAGTTTAGTGATTTGCTTGTTAAAAAAAAAAGCTACACTTTTTTTGCTGTAGATAGTACTTGAACTGCATTTTGAGAACAGGGAGAGAAGGGGCTCCAGCTTGGGCTTGTTCATCAGTTGTTTTTCTAATACTCATTTACTAGGTGTGGAAATGTCATTTGTATGGAATCATGGTATCTCCCTGAGTATCCTCAGTTAGGTAATAGTAAATCTATGATTCCCCGGGTATTTAGGATTCTTCTGTATTTCAGTAATATGGAAAAAAAAAAAAAAAAGAGCTTTTCTCTTTTCTTCCTCCTTCCTTCTTTCTTTTCTTTCTTTGTCTTTTCATCCCAAATATACAGTATATCCCTGATTCAGATCAGCACATTACTTAAATTATTTCACAAATCTTTATGATCACCTTTACTTTGTAAGGGTTTCCATTGTAACATAAGATAACTGGATTCCATTAAATTTTGCTACTGGTTGCTGTTTAATTTTGAGCAAATCAATACTTATCAGTAAAGTGACAGTGAAAGATTAATGAAGGTTGCTGAGGATGGTACTAGACTGGACATCTAGATAAGTAAATACTCAGTTTAAAAACATTGTTAGGAAGGGGTAGAATAACGAAGCAAACAGCATCATTATTTTTCTTTTAATTTTTTTTATTAACATATAATGTATTATTTGTTTCAGGGGTACAGGTCTGTGATTCAACAGTCTTACACAATTCACAGCGCTCACCATAGCACATACCCTCCCCAATGTCCATCACCCAACCACCCCATCCCTCCCACCCCCCTCCACTCCAGCAACCCTCAGTTTGTTTCCTGAGATTGAGTCTCTTATGGTTTGTCTTCCTCTCTGGTTTCATCTTGTTTCATTTTTCCCTCCCTTCCCCTATTATCTTCTGTCTTGTTTCTCAAATTCTTCGTTTCAGTGAGATCATATGATACTTATCTTTCTCTGATTGACTTATTTCGCTTAGCATATACTCTCTAGTTCCATCCATGTCGTTGCAAATGCAAGATTTTATTCCATTGTATATATATACCACATCTTCTTTATCCATTCATCTGTTGATGGACATCTAGGCTCTTTCCATAGTTTGGCTATTGTGGACATCGCTGCTATAAACATTGGGGTGCATGTGCCCCTTCGGATCCCTACATTTGTATCTTCGGGGTAAATATCCAGTAGGGCAATTGCTGGGTCGTAGGGTAGCTCTATTTTCAACTTTTTGAGGAACCTCCATACTCAAACAGCATCATTATTTTGAAAAGTAGAGTATACAGAAAGAATCTAGGTGAGAGAAGTATTCCAATTAAAAATAACATTTTATAGTTTGGAATTACTAGCATATGATTTAAAAATCAAGGACTTGCTAGCAATCGACAACCTTTTTGGTTTTCAGTACTAAATAGAGGGACATCTATGCTAAAACAGAAAGAGCAGTAAGTTTGAAGTCAAAAGACTTGCTTTTTACCTTGATTTTTTCCGAATTTTGTGAAGTTGGTTAACTCATTAACCTTCTTGAGCTCTACCTTTTCTTCCAAAAATTGAAAATAATACCATATAGATTTGAGAGGATGCATGTTACGTAAGAAGGCCTTGAAAATTCTAATATTCTTATTTGACTATAAATGGAGAAATTGGTGCTACTGGGATAAGAAGATGAAGTGAGGAAAATGAGAGGAGAGAGGAGAAAATGTAAATAAAAGGGGGAAAAGGACAGGAATAAAAAAGTATATGTGTACAGAATGGTTCAGTAATACCAACAATTGCCTCAGGGGATTTCCTAATTCCTTTTCAACTTTTTAGCTCTGGAGGAAATTAGACAAAAATTGTTGCACTATGCACGTGTTTAGCTTTGATTTTACTAGAGAATTCATGGGATCATTTTTCTATTTTTATCCTTTTGATAATGAAATAAATATAAATATATCATGAAACCAAATATTTTCTTAGATTTTAGAACACTGTGATTTGCATTACTGTATTTTACATAGGAATAACTGGCCTTCCCCCTGACCCCCACCCCGAGCATGTTTTTTAGGTGCTCACAGTAGTTTTATAAAGCTTGACATAGTTCTTGTAACCCAGAATAGTAAAGTGTAGAAAGTACTGCAAATTTGCTTAGCAAATTATTGTAACTTCAGTGAAGTATAAGAATGTGCTGACCGATAAGGTTTTTTTCTTTTGATTTTTTTATGATAGCTTTATTAAGTTATGTGATGTATCATAAAAGCCACTCATTTAAAGTATACAATTCAGTAGTTTTTAGTATATTCATAGAGTTGTACAATCATCACTATTAACTAATTTTAGAACATGACCAATGGATTTTTTTTTTAAGTTAAAACATTTGTGAATTATCTTTGAAGATTTTGAGTTAGTTATATATATTAAATCTCATCTGTATCTGTATAAACATAGATGCCTAGTACATGTACTATCAAAAGCCTTTTATTGATAGTTATTTAGGGAGATAGAAAAGTATATCTTCAAGTGGGTTTGAGCAAATTTAGAGTTTTTAAATGTAATCTCCGGCAGCCTGTTAATTGTTAGGTTTCTGGATCTAGCTACTAGTCAAATTTTAGGAAGCATGCACTGAAATAAGCTGTCATACATGTCTGTTCTCTCCTTCACACTTATGTCAAATTTGGAGGCTCAAGGTCTCTGCCTATAATTCTTTCTACTTTGAGTTTATCTTGCTTTTAGAAATGACCGATGATTGCAGTGGAAAGCAGAAGCAAGGCCTTGTCTGTTTTTCCATATGGCTTCATAGTTGGAATTGGGCTCCTCATCTGGCCTTTTCTCCTTTTTGAGAGGTTCAGAAATGAAGACGGTAATCAATACCTAGTAGACTTTCTAGAGATGGTGACGAAGAATTTGATGAAACTTGGAACCTATAGTCTCATAATTTATACAATCAGTAATATTCAGTAAGAGCATCTAAATAAGTCTAAGGAACTAATTATCTTTACTGTTTAGTTATATGTAGGTCTTTCAGTTTTTCCACAGTATTTCAAATGTTTCTATTTTTTTCTCTTTTGATACTGGGAATTTTCCGCCTCTTTCTTAGAGTGCCAGGAATATATTCCAGCAGTAGAAAATTTGCTATAGGAATTTTTTGTGCTTAATGTATTACAAAACAATGTAAGTATTATATTTAATTTATATTAAAGGTAATTATATTTAATTATACATATTTAATTAGAAAATATATTTAAAATAGGAAGCTTCCTTCAGCCATAGTAACCTTGGGTAATCTTACACGGTCATCAACAGCATGAAGTATATAAATATTTTGAGCACACTAACCATGTCATTGGTAAAGCCACTGAGAAATCTTACTTAGTAATCTGCTTAGAACAGCATGAAGTGGTGTATTTCTGAATACCTGGTAGTTATTTTCATGATCTTTACCTCAAAAAATTAATGAAATATAGAAATTCTGTGTAGACTTCTCATAAATTAATAAACAATAGATTTATAGCCAAAGCCTCTTAAACTTAACTATGTGTCTAGTCAGTGTGACCTCTTGTAATGAGCTCCCCGTATTTATAAAAAGTAGATGTCCTTTTATTTATTATACAAAAACCAAGAGTAGCCTTTACAGAATATCTCCTTAGATCTGAGTTTCACAAATGCCAGTCCTTTGACCTCTAGCAGACTGGCTTTATCAGAATCTGTTATCCTAAATAGAGCTTTTCAGAATTTAAAAAAGTAAATCTAGTTATTCTTTCAATATTTATGATGTATACAACATACAAATATACACATGTATATGCATATATATGTAAAAATCACCTCTCTTCATTCAAAATCATATCTTGCAAGTTACATCATATTAAATAATCATATCGTAATTATTTTCCAAACATCATATTAAAGTAGTTTATTTCCTTGACCTTGGTCAGAAGAGATTTAAAACTATTCCACATAGAACATTTATCTTATCCTTAGTCCATCTGATTTTTTGGATGAGTTTTAGAACACATTTTCTGTTTACCTGAAAATTAAAACTACTGCTCCATTCTATACCCAGAGGGGCCTTGCTGAAAAAGTGTCCTTTGTTATCCAGTCTGCGGCATTGCCTTACAATTGAAACTCCCCTGTAGTAAAATGCCTTTGAGCATTTAAATTACTGAATCTTGGGGCACCTGGGTGGCTCAGTTGGTTAAGCGACTGCCTTCGGCTCAGGTCATGATCCTGGAGTCCCTGGATCGAGTCCCGCATGGGGCTCCCTGCTCGGCAGGGAGTCTGCTTCTCCCTCTGACCCTCCCCCCTCTCATGTGATTTCTCTCTCTCTCTCATTCTCTCTCTCAAATAAAATTTAAAAAAAATAAAAAAATAAAAAAAATAAATTACTGAATCTCAAGATTGACCTACTTTGAATGAAGCTCTGTGCTAGCGAAATAATTTGCTAATAGCATTTTTCAGAGAGAATTAGTATTCAGACTTATCTCTAGTGATAACAACCTGTAAAAAAAAAAAAATCAGTAAAGGTTTCAGTGCTCAGATCATGCCCCATTTTCCTATTTACCTATTTCATTCAAAAGCACTTGTGGCAAACTGCTAGATATATGACATTATAGCCTTAAAAGTCTGCATCTCTAAAGCAGGTTTTGATGTTTATTTTTACAACTTAGAGGGAAGGATAGAAATTATAGTCTCAAATTCTTAATTTCACTTAAAAAAAATATCAAGGCCAGGGGACTAAAAGAAAAACACTAAGCCAACTCAGTAGGCCTTAATTTAAGGGGTATTTACTTAAAGCTGTTAATAATTTAGCAGTTATTTGGTAATTCAAGTCATATATCACATATCAAGAACCTGAAAGTAAGGTAAAGAAAAACACATTTGGCTAGTTGAAATAAATGTCAAATAAAAGCCAAGAAGCTCAGGCCTGTTTACTGAAGGAACGACTCAGTTCTTACAGTGTTAGTGAGGCCAAACCCAAAGTCCCGCTGGGCAGTAGAAATGAGAAAAGCAAACATTCATTCATTCAGCAAACATTTATTGTATTCCTACTATATATGGGATTTGCATTTGTATTTTCCTTCTTCCCAAGAGGGGAGGAGGAAATAGAGATTTTATATTAAGATTTGTAATCTACTCTCACTTCTGGCATCTCTATCTTATTACCAAAAAACAGTTTATTGTTTGTTTTTAATCACTACCAAATTGGCAAGTAGAAAATAATAACCCTACACTGAGGTAAAGACGCTATGATACTTAGCTAAGTTCACTCACTATCTTTATACTCCCATCCATCGCCTCACCTCAGGAAGACTTTTGGGGTCTCTTGAGTTATAGAAATTAATGATACACTTGTGAATGTCAGTGATTTACCATACTAGGTTCTAATTAGTCTTTTCTGATATTTGAAATATAAACCTTGTTACTGAAATTTTTACACAGCTATAGGAAAATGATGGATCTGTTTCCTTTACTTTCGCTCAAGGTAGCTGGAGATGGGAGGAGAGAATATGAAGGGGACTGTTCTATGCTGCTTTCTTCCCCATCTTCTCACCCCATCCTGTGGTTATCTTTTAAAGCACAGAAGCTTGGGTGGGTTCCAATTTCTTTTTTTTTTTTTTAAGATTTTATTTATTTATTTGAGAGAGAGAGAATGAGAGACAGAGAGCATGAGAGGGAGGAGGGTCAGAGGGAGAAGTAGACTCCCCGCTGAGCAGGGAGCCTGATGTGGGACTCGATCCTGGGACTCCAGGATCATGACCTGAGCCGAAGGCAGTCGCTTAACCAACTGAGCCACCCAGGCGCCCGGGTTCCAATTTCTTGATCAGGATATTCCCACTGTGCCATTACCTTTCATTGTCAACAGTCCTATGTCTGTATCCAGACCTTTTGTTTTCTCTTGTTGAACATGTCTGCTTGTGAGAGTCCTTTTTTAAAATGTGTCATACTTCTTCCTGTGTGCCAGTGCTGGTTTCTTAGGGTGTAGTTTTTTGTCATATTTGGGCTTGACTTCACCTAGTTCTACAAAATCATGACCTTGCCCCCATCTTCCTTGATTAAGGAATAAAACTTACCTCTTTATTTCTTATCTCAAGGAAAAGATTTATGCCCCTTAAATCTGAGGGGCTTAAAACTTTCATAAGCTCTACCAGGTTTGTTCTCACTTTTAGTTCAACCCAGACTTCTTTGTTGTAATTTAATAACTATGCTTGGTGGGTCAAGGTAAAGGAAAAGAGGGTAAGTCTTCTTTTTTCTCTGGTGGACTTTTTTTTAATTCATAGAAAATACATACCTTCTCTAACTTTGCTACTTTGGTAAAAAGCAGATAAAAGCTTTTCTGTTTTTGAGAAAAAGTTTTTGAGAGAAATGCTTTACATATTCATAACTGAAAATTATGATCTCAATCAGAACTTTGGGAAGATTCTTTCATCAAGTAAAGAGAGAATTTCCTTCTTTCCTTTCCTTCCTTCCATCAAGTAAAGAGAGAATTTCCGTCAGTGTACCTAGACTTTACTTTCAAGCTAAGCTGTAATTAGTTCAGCTTCAGTATATAATAACTGGAACTTTTATAATCTTTTACTTGAATCTCCATTTATAATAGTTTTCTGTGGGAAGATGTATGCAGGATGCCAAAGTAGTTTACAGATGAGCTTTTGATGAATGCTTATATTCTAAGCAAGATATTTATTTTTCTTTTGCGACTAGTGAGACTAGAATATATATTTGGCAGTGACCATAATTTAGATTGATTTACATTTCTTAAACTATACTTCTGTTGTGTACTCTGTGGGAAGGATTTATTCCTATTACTAATTTTAAATGAAGATTTTTAAGAATTATTAAAATACTAAGAGATCTGCTAAGGCACAGATGACATAAAATGTATTCAAAAGGGGAATGCATTCTGAAACAGCTTTTGAAATAATCTCATTTTAATGTCCTTAGAAACCTTATCCTTTTGCTTATGATTGAATATTATTTAATCACTTCCTGCAAGAGTTTCTCTGTGATATTTATACTTGTTATAAATTTGTTGGTCATTTTTTTTTCAGATGGAGTAATAATAATTATTGACTCTGGATTTATTTTAATTTTTTTCTAAGTTTTAAGATTCCTCATATTGTTTTCCCCTGGCAGTTATCTGGGTAGTAATGTGTTTGCTTATTACTAATTAAGGTTTTTCTTTAATAACAGATTTATACTTAAAACTGGAAGATGTGACCCATAAATTTAATAAGCCCTGTATAATGGATGTAAAGATAGGGCGAAAGAGTTATGATCCTTTTGCCTCATCTGAGAAGATTAAGCAACAGGTCAGCAAGTACCCATTAATGGAAGAGATTGGGTTCTTGGTGCTTGGCATGAGGGTAAGAGTGATTATTGGTAACATTTCTCTTTACATGTTCCTCCCTTGAAAAATACAGATGTTAATTATACTTACATATTAGAAGATAATATATTTTGGATTTGGGTTGTCCATATCTCTCCAATGCAGGCAGGGATTTTAGTTTCCTTTGTTCACTAATATATGGTCAGTGTCTGGAGTTATTCTGACACATAGTATATAATGAATGAATGAATGGCTGAACCACAAGACTGTGACTTTGGTAATTTTTTTTTTTTTTTAAGATTTTATTTATTTATTTGAGAGAGAATGAGAGAGAGCACATGAGAGGGGGGAGGGTCAGAGGGAGAAGCAGACTCCCTGCTGAGCAGGGAGCCCGATGCGGGACTCGATCCAGGGACTCCAGGATCATGACCTGAGCCGAAGGCAGTCGCTTAACCAACTGAGCCACCCAAGCTTAAGTTTAGGTGCAAAATAATGTGATAAGTAAATGTGATATTATTTATGATTTGCCATGAGAAAAGTAATTAAGTTTATATATTCAGTTTTTTCTGTATTTTTAAAATAGAAAAGGGAAATTTAAAATTAGGTTATTTCTTCAGACTGTATTTTAAAACAGTTGTTTTATTTGCTCATAATTCTGTAGGTTGACAGTTGAGTTGGGTTCAGGTAGACAATTTGCTGATCTCACTTAGGGTCCCTCATATGGCTATGCTCATTTGGTGACTCAGCTAGGGCTAGATGGTCTAAAATGACCTCACTGTCATGTCTGGGAGATTGTACTGTTGCCTGGGCCTTTTTCCCTGTGATCTCTCATGTTCCAGAAAGCTAGCTGGAGCTTCTTCATATTCCAAGAAGGCAAGATTGAGAGCTATAAGGTCTCTTGAAATCTACATTAGGAAGTCATTTGATGTCACATCTGTAGGACAAAGTATATCACAGGGCCAGCCCATATTGATAGGGAAGAGAAATAGACTCCGCTTCTGATGGTGGGAATAGAGAAGTCACAATATAAATAGCAGTGCACACAAGGATGGGAAGGCTTGTTGAGGCCATCTTTGCAAACAGTATGCCACAGTTAAGTAATGTGGAATAAAATCCTCTGAATAAATGGTATGCCTTCTAGATGTATGGAGGTAAAATTTGTATATATGATAAATGATTGCTTACCTATATAAGCATAATGGCCAGTTTTGAAATTCATCATGTAAGATGATATATATAGGTGTTCCTTTTGACTTTTAAACTGCAATACAGAAGTATTATAGATGAATTGTTAATGTGATGGTAATAACAGCACAGTTGAATTTGGTATTCTGATTATAAATAAAACCAAAGAAATGTTGTACAGTTATTTCATTTTAGAAAACCATAATTAATTGTGGGTATATGGTAAAGAAAAAAAAGGATAATGGAATAACGTTAAACAAGGAATAAATATCCCATAGGACTATAACTGGGCAACTATTTAAACCTTCACTGTTGTCAGATCTCTCACCCTCCCACTTTCCTTCTCACTCTTAGCAGATGAATTTGCCTTCCGCTTCAGAAAAAATAAAAGCTATCAGACAGGATTTCCTTTAATTTTCTGCTAACAGATGTACATACCTAACCTGCAAGTACTTTCATTCCTTCTTATTTCTTCCTGTCACATTGAAGAATTTTTCATCCTCTAGTCTAAGCGTAGCCCTTCCCTGTGTCCTCTGGACCTCAGTCCTACCACCTCTTCAGGAACCTAATACTATTGATTCTCTCTTGGTTTTCTTATATCTTCAACTTCTGTCTCTATCTACTGACTCTTTAACTTTGTTTTGAATATGTTCAAATTACTCAATGTTTTCAGTAACAAAACCTCAAAACCTGCCTTTACTGTGCTCTGCTCTCCAGCCGTGGATTTGACTTGCCTCCCCTTCACAGCTGAACTAGTTATTTCTATTGCATTTCCACTCAGTATTCTTTTATTTTTTTAAAAAAAGATTTTATTTATTTATTTGAAAGAAAGAGCGCGCATGTGCATCCTGCAAGTGGGGGGAAGGGCAGAGGGAAAGGGAGAGGGAGAGAGAGAATCTCAAGCTGACTCTGTGCTGAACTCGGAGCCTGACACAGGCTCGATCTCATGACCCTGAGATCATGACCTGAGCCAAAATCGAGTCGGACGCTTAACGGACTGAACCACCCAGGCACCCCTCCACTCAATATTCTTAAACTTATTCCAGTCTGGCTTCTGTTTGATCATCCCTCCAGATTTGCTCCTTACTAAGGTCCCTAAAGACCTTAACAATCTTCACTGTTACTAGGTCCAAATGACATTTTTCATTACTCACTTTACTTTGAAAAGCAGCTTTCAAAGCTAAGTCCTCCTTAAAACTTTTTCTCTTAGTGTTCATGACACCCTCTCCTGGCTGTTTCCTAAGACCACTTTGCAGTCTTCTTTACCAGCTCATTTCTTTCTGTTTATTCTTTAAATGTTGAGGTATTCTGCTCAGTTCCATTTTACTCCTTTTTTCTTTCTGTTTCTTCCTAAGCAGTGTCTTTTGTTCTTAATTGGTTCATTTTCACTTACACTGGTAACACCCAAATGTGTATCTTCTGCCTCTGGTTTTTCTTTGCTCTCCTAATCTGACCTTTACTTGGATAATGTAAAGACATCTAGAATGAATACATTAAAAACTGACACACATCCTTTTTGCAAACTAACAACCACAACAATAGTAACATCTCTATTATTCCCTATCCCAGTAAATGGCATCACCATACATACAGTTTTACAAAGGAGAAAACTTGTAGTACTATCACATCTCAGAACCATCCATCAGTTCTGTTGATCTTAATTCCCAAACATCTCTTGAGTCCCATTATCCCTTTCCAGACTCTAGTCTTAACTGATCTCTCAAGTTCAGTTTTGCTCTCTTCCAGTCTGTTCATCAAACATTGCAAAAGGTATATCTAATTAGGACATTACCCTATTTAAAAATTCTGCAGCGGGTTTCCGTTACCTTTAGGGTACATATACAGAGGATAAATAAGACATTGTGTGATTTGGCATTCTTGGGGTATGTGGTTTACCCAGAGAAGTAGTTCTTCTGTTTGTATTTTTTTAATAATAACTTTATTGAGATATAATTTACATATCCTTCAGTTCACTCATTTAAATATATGGTTCATTGGTTTTAGTATATTTGTGGAGTTGGGCAACCATCACCACATTCAACTTCAGGATATTTTTATCACCCTCAAAAGAAATGCCATACCTACTAGCAGTCACCCCTCTTTTTCTTCCAGTCTTTCAACTCCCCCTAGTTCTATGAAAATTATCTCTCTGATAATTCTGTTTTCATTTCCTTGAATATATACCCAGAAGTAGAATTGCTGGATCATGTGGTAGTTCTGTTTTTTAATTTTTTGAGGAGCCTCCATACTGTTTTCCGTAAAAGCTCTGGTGGCTTGATGCTGAGATGCTGAGTATAATTCCCAGGGAAGAAGTGTAATTCCTTTTTCCATATTCTGGCCAGTCCTTATTATTGCTTGTCTTTTTGATGATAGCCATTCTAACAGGTGTGAGGTAATGTCACTGTGGTCTTGATTTGTGTTTCCATGAGATTAGTGATGTTGAGAACCTTTTGATGTTCCTGTTGGCTGTTTGGATATTTTCCTTGGAAAAAATGTCTATTTAGTTCCTCTGCCCATTTTTTTAATTAGATTTTTTTCTATTAAATTGTATGAGTACTTTTATATTTTAGATATTACTCCCTTATCAAATATATGATTTGCAAATATGTTTTGGAACCACACTATTGTAGCCTTGGAGTAAGCTTTGAAATCAGAAATCGTGACAGCTCTAATTTTATTCTTCCTTTTTTCAAGATTGTTTTGACTAATTCTGGGTCCTCCTTAAATTTACACGTGAATTTTAGGATTAAGTTGTAATTGTCAGTTCCTGCAAAAAAATGCCAGTTCGGATTTTGGTGGCGATCATACTGGATCAATTTGTGTTCCTATTATTTTTGTACTCATAACTTCCTTTATACAATAGTTAACATATTGTTTAATTATCTAAGAAAGGATATGATTGAAGTATGAGATAATAAATGAAAATGATGTGAATATAGATTTACTTATACAATTCTAGGATATTAAAAATAGGAGATAAACCTTGAATTTTAATAGGAATAATGTTAAGGTTAAATTTTTCATAATTTATTTCTTTGGAAGGTGGTAAATTCATTGAACTCTTTAGTCACAGTGGATTTATAGACTAATAATAGAGTTGGATAATTTGATCTTATTTTTTTTTAACATTTTAATTTATTTATTTGACAAAGAGAGACACAGAGAGAGAGGGAATACAAGCAGGGGGAGTGGGAGAGGGAGAAGCAGGCCCCTTGCAGAGCAGGGAGCCCGATGTGGGGCTTGATCCCAGGACCCTGGGATCATGACCTGAGCGGAAGGCAGACGCTTAACGACTGAGCCACCCAGGCACCCCAGAGTTGGGTAATTTTAGAATTAATACTCTAAAGTTTAAAATTTCCCCCCAGGAAAGTCATGCCTCTAAACAAAAAAAATCCCTTGATATCACTGACTAGACTGAAGTTTATCAAATATATCAAATGTTTAAAATATATTTAAATATTTTTCTATTGTTTTCAGCCAGTAGTAGAAGAGATTTTGTGGGTAGAATAACTTGCCAATTCTCTGTGCTGACTTAGGATCTTTCTTTATTTTTTTATATTTATTTACTTACTTAATTTTTTTTTTTTTTGAGAGAGAGAGAGGGTGTGCAAGCAGGGGAAGGGGCAGAGGAAGAGAGAGAAAATCTTAAGCAGGCTCCATGCCCAGCGCAAAGCCTGACACGGGGCTCAGTCTCACGGCCCTGAGATCATGACCTGAACCAAAATCAAGAGTTGGATGCTTAACCTACTGAGCCACCCAGGTGCCTCTAGGAATTCTTTATATTTAATGACTTTCAGTAATTATACTATATTTCATTGACCCCAAGATGGTGTAGATGATAAGACTCAAAGA